AATGCTCAAGGTGGAGAGTACGGCAATGCTCTACAGGCAGCTGCATCTTGGGGACGTCGAGAGATTGTGACGATCTTGCTCAACAGGGGTGCGGATGTGAATGCCCAAGGTGGATATTTCGGCAATGCTCTACAAGCAGCTGTATATGGGGGACATCGTGAGATCGTGACGATCTTACTCGACAAGGGTGCGGATGTGAATGCTCCAGGTGGAGAGTACGGCAATGCTCTGCATGCAGCTGCACGTTGGGGACATCGAGAGATTGTGGCGGACTTACTCGACAAGGGTGCGGATGTGAATGCTCAAGATCGATATTCCAACAATGCCCTACAAACAGCTGCACATGAGGGACATCGAGATACTGTGACGATCTTAATCGACAGGGGTGCGGATGTGAATGCTCAAGATCGATGTTTCCACAATGCTCTACATGAAGCTGCATATAAGGGACATCGAGAGATCGTGACGATTTTACTCGACAAGGGTGCGGATGTGAATGCTCAAGGTGGACAATACGGCAATGCTCTACAAGCAGCCGCATATATGGGACATCGAGAGATTGTGGCGGTCTTACTCGACAGGGGTGCGGATGTGAATGCTCCAGGTGGACAGTACGGCAATGCTCTGCATGCAGCTGCACGTTGGGGACATCGAGAGATTGTGGCGGACTTACTCGACAAAGGGTGCAGATGTGAATGCTCCAGGTGGACAGCACGGCAATACTTTACAAGCAGCTACAAACGGGAACACTCAAGGTGGATATTACGGCAATGTTCTACACGCAGCTGCACATGGGAGACATCGAGAGATTGTGACGATCTTACTCGACAAGGGTGCGGATGTGAATACTCAAGGTGGATATTACGGCAATATTCTACACGCAGCTGCACATGGGAGACATCGTGAGATTGTGACGGTCTTACTCCATCACGGTGCAGACGTCACAATTTAGCCCAAGATAGATAGCTGGATGTCTCTCTTGCACGCAAGTGCTATTGGCAACAAGTACGACCTTGTCAGGCCGTTGATGGATTCGCATAAAGTTACCCGAAACCACCTCGAAACGCAAGACCATACTGGTCAGACACCCCTTCATATCGCTGTCGAGAAAAGAAATCTCAAAATAACGACGTATTTTCTCGATAATGGTGCCTCACCAGATGTTCCAGATCTTGGAGATGTCACTCCATTTCAACATGCAGTGCAAATTCGGTATCCTGCGATGGTTCTCCTTCTTTTCAAAACAGCAAATGGGGACTTTCTCATATGTTTGCATCAGACTGGAGACGTTGTCTAGCCTTTGGTCGTGATTTCCACCTTGAGATGATCTGTGGTGAGCCTCCTCAACTGCTAGTGTAAAGGTGATGAATGGTTTAGCACTTGAGGGCCTGTCACACAGGGAGGATGTCGTCGTCAGAATCATTGAGCAACCACACACAAAACTCTCACTGCTTCATTTCTCTATGCTCTGTGTCTCTTCGTGTGTGTGTCCTTGAAAAACCAACTAAGAAAGGTTCGATGCACTCCTCAACTTTCTACTCACCAATGTCTGCTTTCCCCTTACATAATCCATGCGCGTAGCGCCCCGCTACAGTAGAACTAGGTGCTAGCTGGGATATACTGATTGGGTCCTCGACCTGAACCCTCACAGAGTCGTGATATCGGATCCAGTCCGTGGACCACCTAGACAAGTCCTGCGGATCAAACCCGAGATGGGTCGTATGGAGCGTTCACGAATGAACCTCGATGTCGAGATGGTCACGGATTGGATCCGATGAAACACCACGAGCCATCGGATCCGATCCATGGACCATGTCCCCCCCGGGGGGAGGGGCCACGACAATATCCACGCGGATGGCGCTATGTCTTCCGAGCCAGAACGGATATTAAGTCTCGTAGGACAGATGGTGGGGCAATCTATATCATCTTGGGAGAAAAGTGGGGCTATCCAAATATCCAAATAGATCCAAATCGATTCAATCAAATCAAATTCGAGGCCACGGACCATACAGAAGATATATGCACCTAGGTCCTCCTTGTCAAAAGGTTGTAGCTTTTATCAAACGCAAAGTCACCAATGACGTCCACCAAGACCGAGCGAAAGTCATGGTGTAGGTCTACGGGGTTGCCCATATCGACCCCTTTTTGCATTATTTTGCAAACTTTGCGAGGCTTGTCTCGAATCGGGGCTTCAAGTTCTAGAACAATTTTGCGCGAGAACATCGGATCCATCGCCCCACGGCGAACATGTTGCACCTCATTTTGGACAGTCCCAAAGGCCAATAGGGTTATACACAGAGCATTGTAGAATGTTGGGGACCTGGCATATTTACTGCCCACATATTAGATCTTGTCGTAGTTCTCCGGATCACTCAAGTGGATGTCATTGGGCGTAATACGCACGACCGGCCCTTGATAATGTGTTACCGGCGTTGCTTCCTGTGATCAAAAAAAGTGGTCTTTTTGCACAAACTGTATTTCTCGTGCATGCGAGTTATCTCCAAATAATATCGACCACGGTAGAATGACTGATATAGCATAGTGACAGGGGGTAGGAACGGGCCGGGTATACCAGCAAATGGATGGAAGAAACGGTGGTAGATGCTTGTGTTACTAAGATATGTGATGATAACTGCAGCAAGAAGCTGCTAGAGAGGAATGGAAACGTCAAGAAGGCCATGGCGGAGAGTGAAAGTAAAAATGGCCTGACAATTTTGTCCACACAACCAGAGATTCGAGCATGTGTATGATCATATATGCAGTGCGAGACGCGGATCGAGATCGGCTTATCAAGATGGCGGGATTAGAAGAGGCAAAGACACCAATAGCAGCATCCAAAAGCTGGGAGCAAAATGCTTCGACTATCCGCAAAAACACACAAGTCGTTCTCGAAAGTAGCGAATCCCTGCTGCACAATGGCAACTTAGCGCCGCGCTCTCCTGAATCATAACTAGTCTACCACGAATAATCGGCGAGCTTACTTTCTGTTATGGTATCATCAAATCCTGTATGAGTTTGTACTATCCGTTTCGAAATTTGTAACGGCATCCGTCGAACTGGGGAACAACTTGAGATGTATTGAATGCTCTGTCTACCTCACAACCGGTCCTGCTAGATTGCTGGTATATATACAAGTTGGTTTGACCCTTTTCTTCTATTTCTACCCCCTAAAACCTGCATAGGGGTGATAACCCCTTTTCAATAAAGGGGCACATGCTACTATTCGACTATTCAATGAGACCTTGTTCGACAGTATCTATTGTCTGTCAGAATCGACGCCTAGCCGTTCCATCCGTCGGATATGGTATCAAAACAAGGACAATTTAATTTTGGCATCGAACGCCTAAATAGGTCGTATCGGTTATACAACCGACAGTTTCCGTTATGAGAAGGTCTAGTGTTATCTGATCTCATCCTATCTTGCCAAAGAGACCTATACCGTTACGTCTTTACTCGATATCTTAAGAGTCTAGTCACTTCTGCCACGCCTACACCTTCAAAACATCTCTATACTCAACGTTTGGGCTCGGCCTGCGATAGCTAGTACTGATCGTGCCGAAACACCATTCAAGCTATATTAATTCTCCATCAGTCGTGACTTCTCCATATCTATGCTCGACATAAGGGAAGCCATACTTAGTGTCAGTCGATCCCACTGTACCCTTCTCTGAAGCCCATGACAGCGGCTTCCCGCCATCCTCGTCGGTCAAATCCACTGCAGCGCCCTTCTCAATCAGGAGTCGAACCACGGCATCGTGTCCGTTCTCGGAAGCCCATGACAGCGATGTCCAACCATTATCATCAGTCGAATCCACCGCAGCACCCTTCTCAATCAGAAGTCGAACCACAGCCTCGTGTCCGTTCCTTGAGGCCCACGACAGCGGTGTCCCACCAGAATTATCAGTCGAGTCCACTGCAGCACCCTTCTCAATCAGAAGCCGAGTCACGGCCTCGTGTCCGTTCCTTGAGGCCCATGACAGCGGTGTCCGGCTGTATTCAGTCTCAGTCAAGTCCACTGCAGCACCCATCTCAATCAGGAGTCGAACCACAGCCTCGTGTCCATTCCTTGAGGCCCATGACAACGGTGTCCAGCCAGTTTCACTGGTCGAATCCACCGCAGCACCCATCTCAATTAGGAGTCGAACCACAGCCTCGTGTCCGTACTCTGAGGCCCATGATAGCGATGCCCAACCATTATCAGTCGAATCCACTGTAGCACCATTCTCAATTAGAAGTCGGACCACAGCCTCGTGTCCGTTCCTTGAGGCCCATGACAACGGTGTCCAGCCATTCTCGTTAGTCGAGTTCACTGCCGCACCATTCTCAATTAGGAGTCGAACCACAGCCTCGTGTCCATTCCTTGAGGCCCATGACAACGGTGTCCAGCCAGTTTCA